GATATTTCACCTATGAGATGTCTTGAATGGCTTTTCATAACTAATGGAGCAAAATGAAACATTTTTCTGTTTTTCCCTGCTTTCGGCTTGACCGTTTTCTTCAGTTCTTTCAACTAGACATACTCTGAGTGTATTCTTCCCTCTGTTCTTGAAATCCAGGTCTTTGCACATTTGTTATGCTACTTTACTTTTTCTTCTAAAGCTCCCCTTTGAAACACACGGTTTAGCCTTTTTACTTTATCATTTGTCCAATTGCTTTTACACATTCAAGAGCAAATTTCTGAGTTTCTTCTAACGTCCAATTTGTTCTTTTCTTTCTTGTTTTCTTTTAAGTGACCATTTGTTTTCTTCATATATGGTATTCTCGATGTCATCTCACAACTTCTTTGGTCTTCAGGGAACAATGTTCAATACATAGAATCTATTATTGTGATGTCCTATAAATTCTGGTGGATGTATTTAAAGTTGTACTTGTTCCTTGTTGACTTTAATTTTCCTAAGCTTAAACTTGAATTTATATAAAAACAATTGATTGTTCACCTCTTGGTCCATGATCTTGCTCTGATTGATGACATTGAATTCTCCAATCTTTTTTTCATAATTGTAGTTGATTCAATTTCAATTTATTCCATCTGATGAGGTCAATATGTGTAGGCAAAATGTACGTTGTTGAAAATGGTATATATAATGAATATGTCTTTGATCTTTCAAAATTCTACCATGTGTGTGGTTAGAATTTTAGACCTGTATTACCAAATGGGCACCTTGAGCCAGTTATTTATTTTTGTCACACCTGATTCTTGGACTGTAAAATATGCATAATAGCATTGGGATTGCTGTATCATTGATGAAACACACAATTTTCCTCTAGTTCTTAAATGCTTCCTCCTCTCCCCACCCACCCTACTATCATGATCCCAATTCTACCCTACAAACCTGGCTAGACCAGAGGATGTAAACTGATGCAGATAAGGACATGAGCACAGGGAATTCAGGACAGGTGAATCCCTCAGGACCAGTAGTGAAAGTGGTGATACCAGGAAGATGGAGGGAGGGTGGGGTAGAAAGGGGGAACCGATTACAAGGATCTACATATAACCTCCTCCCTGGGAGATGGACAACAGAAAAGTGGGTGAAGGGAGACATCGAACAGTGTAAAACATGGCAAAATAATAATAATTTATAAATTATCAAGGGTTCATGAGGGAGGGGGAGGGGGGGAAGAGGGGAAAAATGAGGAGCTGATACCAAGGGCTCAAGTAGAAAGCAAATGTTTTGAGAATGATGATGGCAACAAATGTACGAATGTGCTTGGCACAATAGATGTATATATGGATTGTGATAGTTGTTGTACAAGCCCCCAATAAAATGATTTAAAGGAAAAAAATAATTTAATGAGTCAACATTTATTATTTTGTTTATTATGGAAGGGCCTGCCCAGAGTCAGCTCACAATAATAATTCACAACTTACTTAAATCTTGACCAACGAGTTTAAGTATGCCATTTACATTCTATTCAAAGATCTAACATTGGAGGCCTTTAGTAAATACTTACTAATAAATAAACAAAAGCAAAACAAAAAACACCTTTACCTTACTACTAACCACACATTTAAGTTACAATTGATAGTTTAGAAATCTGTATTCCATGGTGGTCACACATCTCAATACCTCTCCTTATTACCTAAAAGTACCATACCCTCATATATTCTAGTAAAACTATATTATATATGTAATCTATCATTTTATTTTGTTTTTTTTCCTATACCCATATAGTTTTTGTTAATTGCTAACACTCCGTGTTAATTGTTAATTGTTCAAGTAAATCATTTTTACTGCTCGATTTTCTGTTTTTCCTTTTTTACAAGTAGCCTCACGTACTTGTACTTATGTCTGTGTTTTGTTTATAAACACTGGAGAGACTTTTATGGAATGTATATATGTAATATATATATCTTTATTAATAATAACTCTGTTTTGAATCTGACAGGTATTATTTTAATTATATTTTTTAACATTCCAAATTAGGAAAAAATCAATCTTTGTCTGTGAACTTTGCCAAAACTATCCATAAAATGTACCTGCTAATTCTAAATGCGTACACTATCTTATTTTAAAATGTCTAATACTTGGCATAGTTTAATTTAGTTGTTATTGTTTTGTTTTACTTGATTTAACGAATTATTTCTGATAAATAATGTGTGATATGTCACAGAGATAGAGGAAATGTTGAGTTTTTTCTTTTCCTTATTACTCTGCATACAGTTAGATATATGCTTACATGGTTTGATCATTTAATTGTCATTTTTCTTACTTTATTTTACCATCTCTTATTAGTGAAAAGAAAAAAATTTAAATGACAATGAGGAATATTCATATTATTTCCTAAAATCTCTAGCTGTATCATAGGTCACTGGGGTAATGATTTTTTTTTACATCAATTTTAAATTCCATTGTGTTTCATTTACTTGTATCATTTATCTAATTTTAATGTAAAATTTATTAGTTTTGATACTAGTTAGTTAAATTTCCACAAAACCTATATAATCACAAAATATATGTAGCCACAAAATATATGCAGCCTAACAATATTATATATGTTTATATACAATTGTGTAAATTGCTATTTGAAAAACAGGAAGGATCTTGTAGTAGAAATAAAGATCATCTTTACAGATCAGTGTTTCATTGATAATAAATATACCAGCAATTCTCAAATTCTATCATCTATGTCAATCAATGGATATTTTATTAAAATGCTGAATTTGTTTTAGTAGTCCTGGGGCAAGACCATATTTTGGAGGCAAAGAAATAGATAATATTTGAGACATTTACTAATGATTCCCTTTAAAACTTTTGAACATCATAATTAACACACAGAATGACTTCACTACAAGTAAATCATAATGACAACCTCTGAGATAACAGGACTGCTAAAGACAATAATAAAATCTAACAAAATTAATTCTCTAAGTATTAGTTATGTGGTCTTGGGTAGATGTTTAACACTTTTTCCATTTTAATTGTCTATTGCAGTGCCTTAGATAATAAGTACTGATTCATAGACTGAGATTTCAGAAGTAACCAGTTTCAATGAGATTAACTTTTACATAATTCAATAAATATTACAGAGCCTCTATTAGGAGTAAGACGAATGATAGTGTACTGTAGACAATATTAGACAAATGTTTGGATGTTTTTCCCTTTCTGAAAGAAAAATGCAAAATTGTATGACATATAAACATTGGCATTGGTAAAAGCAAAATCTGTCTGATGACCTTTACAAATCTGCAGATATATGATTTTATCATATAAAATATTTTACATGTCAAAAATTCAATGTTTGTATATTGCTGAAAATTCTTAGTTTTTCTAAGTGTTATAAGTAGCTATAGCAAGCAACATGTTTTTGCAATGATCTCTTCTAATTGACTCAGATAAAGAATTGTTTTTGGCTAGAAATTTATTGCCTACGAGAATATCTATATTACTGGGTCAGTAACAGTGTGATTAATTTGTTAATGTAAATTGGAATCTAGGATAATAGAGATTTCAGAAATTAAATAAGACCTCCTATGACTGTTGTTTGGTTATGGTCCAAGACACCTCTTTTAAAAACATCTGATTTCATATCATGAAATATCTTCAAGCCAGATGCATCCACTTTCACTCAGCAAACCTGTGTGAAAATTGTCATTATTAATAAACTAAGTATCAGAATTGATTTTACTTGGCTGGTATTCTTTGCATTTCAAATTGGTTAATTAATAATATTGACTACTTATATGTTAGACATGCAATACAAGTGACGATGTGTTAGCAAAGCAAAAATACTGTCTGTTTTATGCTAATGTTGGACATAAAACCAATTGTACTCCCCTTCTTTCCTTTAAAGCAATTATCATGTAAAAATAGGTTGCGATTATTTATTTGGGTGCTAACTTGACTATCCACTAGTTTTTTTAAGACAATCTGATACATGCTAATTGCTTCTTTAAGATATGAAATGCATGAGCTTAACATTTTGAAAATGTTTTTATTTTTCTTGCTCTCTTTAAAACAATTGGTGATACTGATTCTGCTGGGGGAAAAAAAATCTTGGTGTGTCTCTGAACTCTCATGATGTCCGACTCTATTTCTCAATTTGAAAGAAATTTTAATACAAATACTTTTACGAAAGACTGGAATGTCCATGCTAGATATCTCTTCCTGACAATCAAATGATTACATGTATTTTAGGAATCTTTATTCATTAAAGCCTACTTTTTTTCTATTTCTCTTCTCTAATTTATGATGGGATACAAAACATTATATACATTAGTTTCTTTGGCTGTGGAATCACAAGCTGTCCTTTGGGTCGCTTGTACTGGTGTGACGTTGTCATGGTGAAGAACCCTGTCTGGTGACAGAATGTACTGAGTAAGATCAGGATTATTAACTCACCGAACTAGACAATATGAACACTGACTTGCATTGGTCCAAAACTAAGTTAAATTTTTATCTTTAAATTGACTTCCAAAATTCACATTACATAGTTTCTGGTGAATAATTTCCTAGCCATCCACCAAGTGGACATGGTAGTATAAAGCGCTCACGTAGTTCTAAGTGTGCAGTGTGGCCACAGCAAGGAATGCAGGTTCTCAAACTCTCTGCCATGGGATCAATTCTAGCTCCTTGTCACCCAACAGAACCAGGGGGACCTGCTCTTGTGGGTTTCCAAGACTGTAACTCTTCACAGGAGGAGAAAACCACATTTTTCTCCTACAGAGCTAATTATGTTATGATGTTTATCAATCCTTCTCCAAATAAAAGCAAATATTGTCCATTCTAACCTGCAGGTTCAGAGGTTGCTCATATTAGAAGCAGGAAAATAGGTAATGAATAAATAAATATCAAAATACAACCATGATTTTAAGTAAAGTTTAAAATGGAATAAATGGTTTTAAATTAACATTTTTTAAAAAGCTTGACTTTTCAATAATTGTATAATTTATTTTTAGAGTGTTACTCACAGAGGATGGCAGCCTCCGAATATATAATATCACCAGGTCAGATGCTGGACCATACACTTGCATAGCCACAAATCAGTTTGGAGTTGCTAAGAGCACTGGCAGCCTGGTTGTAAAAGGTATTTAACCAACTGCATTTGTACTTGATTATTTTTTAAATGTGTATGCATAAAATGACCTCTATCACAGTGTCAAACCTATAGCATCTTGTATATGTGAAATATTTGACATTACAATATACTTAAGTTTAATTACTATGTTCATTAACACTGGACTCACTTTCCCTCTAGGATTCTACAAATATCACATAGAAATAACATCTATACTGATAATATGTGAAGTTTCACAAAGGCCTTACTTCGTGTGACCATGGGTATTTTCACTAAATAACAGGATAATGCTATTCTTGTTTAACTTTCATTCAGTAACTTTGGATTTGTTTCAACTTGTACATGTACAAGTAGTAGGGTATAAGGCTACCGTGTCCATAACCCCCTCATGTATGTGGCTTTTGGTACACAGGGGAGGTCCACTTGTGCTGTGGGCTAGGCATTGGACGAGCCATAGGGCCGTGGTTTAGACCAACGAGCTACTTTGTGCTAAGCAGAAGGATGAGACTGTCTGTTCCCATAAAATTTTACAGAGTCAGAAGCCTTGAAGAGCAATTCTACTCTGTTCTCTAGCTTTCCTGTGCATCAGAATTGACTCAATGGCCATGGATTTGGTTGTTTCCATTTGGATGCATAGCAGGTGAAATTCTCACTCATATATGCTCTTATTTATGGTCTGTATAGCATCCATATCAGTCTTTTATATTCACATTGGAATAAAGAGATGTTTTTTTAGATGCCTTCAAGTTTATTCTCCCTAATGACACTATATACAACAGAGTGCAACACTACCCAGTACTAGACTCTCCTCACAGCCATGGTAACTGCTCAGCCCAGGGTTGCCACCACTCTTCCAGTCTATCTCATAGAGGGCATTCCTCTTGTTTTTTGCTGAGCCTCTACTTTGTGAAGCATGATTTACATCACCAGCAATGGGTCCTTCCTGATAACATGCCTGAAGCACGTAGGATAAAGAAGTCTTGCCATCTTTATGTCTAAGAAACATTCTGTCTGTCTTTCTAACACAGATGTCTTATTTCTTCTGGCATTGAAGATTATGTTCAATACTCTCTGCCGAACCATAATGGAAAGTTATCAATTGTGCTTTGGTTTCCCATCGTCGTTGCCCAGATTCCACACGCACATGAGGTGATTGAACACACTATGACTTGGTCTGGAACATCTGAGCCTTTATGCAAGCTCTTTTCTTTTTAATAGTTTATAGAAGTTCTTTGCAGCAAAATTTCTCCATGTAAGGTGTTCTTCAATTTCTTGACTGTTGTTTCCATGGATGTTGACTATGGAGTCAAGCACAATTATATTCTCAGTACCTTCCATCCTTTCTCCATTTGTCCTGATCTGGCTTATTAGTCCAGTGATGGGGATAGTTTATTTCTTTATGTTGATCCACTAATGCATGCTGCGGGCTGTGGGTTTAACCTTCATCATTCAGTACTTGGAGTCCTCTTCATTTTCAAGAAGCAAAGTTGTTCCGTCGGCATGACAATTTGTTAATGAGCCTTTCATCAATTCAGATGTTGCCTTGAATCTCATGTAGTCCATTTCTCACATTATTTGCCTAGCATAAAGGTCTCATGAAAGTAGCAAAAGGAAGCGACCTTTACATACGCCTTTTCTGATTTTAAACCACTTACTATTCCCTTGTTCTCTTCAAATGATTATCTTTTGATCTCTGAAGAGGGTCCACATAAGTAAAATTAAATGTTCTGGAATTCCCATTTTGCAAAATGTTATTTATAATTTGTTGTGAGACATAGTTAAATGCATTCTCTAGTCAATAAAACCCATGGTAGCTTTCTCTTATTGTCTCTTTTCAACCAAGATTGATCTAATGTCAGCAATGGTACCCCTCATTCCATGTTCTTTTCTATGACTTGAATTTCTGACATTATATTGTTAATGCATTGATGCAACTGTTTGTTTGTTACTATCTTCAGGAAATTTTTATGTGTGCATACTATTAATGGTATTTTTCAATAAATATTTTGAATCGCCTTTTTTCCATTATGGCCAAAAATATGAATCCATTCCAGTCCATTTGACAGGTAATTGTCCCTCAAATTTTTGGCATAGTTATGGGAGCAATTCTATCATTGCATCAGTTTGTTGAAGTATCTAAACTGCCATTCTATCAATACCTGAAGCTTGGATTGTTTTGCCAATGCCTTCGGTACATCTTAGACTTTTTTCAGTATCATATGCAATGTCATGAAATGACTTAATGTTGTCCAATTATTTTAACTATAGTGATTCTGAGTATTCTTTTCATTTTTTGATGGCTCCTGCATCTTTCAGTATTTTGTCCATAGAATCACCTAATATTGTAGCTTGAAGTTGTTGTTTTTTTTTATTTCTGTCCCTTTAGTTTGAGAAATCCAGAAAGTATTCTTCATGTTTGGCTTTCTGACTTCAGATCGTCATACATTTCATTACAATACACTGCATTGTCTTCTCTGTTTGCACATTGAAATTTTATGTTTAACTGTTGTCGCCATGTCTTCTTTTCTTTCAGCTGTTCAACATTTAATTTCAGAGTCTCTTCTGCCATTCATTTTGGTATATTTTTTACCTTGTTAATTTTTCCCTTCTCATATATGATGTCCTTGATGTCATCCTACAACTCACTGGTTTTTAGTCAATTATGTTCAATGCTTTAAATCTATTTTTGAAATATGTCTAAATTCATGTAGGATATGCTCTGCATTTTAACTTTTGTGAATCTGTTTTAATTTTCTTAACTTCAACTTGAACTTGTGAATGAGCAATTGATAGCCTTAACCACAGGTTTTGTTTGATTATATCAAGCTTCTTCATTATCTCTTTCCAGAGATGCTGCTGATTTGACTTTGTTTATTCCATCTGATCCATATGTATAGCCACTCTTTATTTACAATGAGAAGGTCATTGATTTTGCAGAATTAGATCATGCAATTTCTATCACCAAAACCCTATTTTTCAACTACTGATCTTTCATCTTATTTTCAATTTGCATTTTCCAATTAATGTATTTTGTTTATCAATTTCAGGCTGCAGAAGTTTGTAAAATTGTTTTATATATTCATCTTTAACATTAGTGATTGTTATATAATTTTGAATAATATGTATAATAACGGGTTTCTCTTGTAGGATTCATATGTCCCTACTAATGACAGCTTTATTCTGCAGGAAATATCCCAAATGTAATTTTCTGCAATGGCTATAACACCATTCCTCTTCAACTTGTCACCCCTGGCATGGTATATCATGTTATTTCCCATTTCAGCTCATTTCTGCCTAAGCTATTAGTTTTTATGTGCTCCATTTTCTTTTTGATGACTTCCAATTTTCCTAAACTCATATTTAGCACATTATATTTTGTGGTTATTAATTGATGTTTGCAGTTGTATCTTCTATTTTGAGTTGTGTTACATCAGCAAATGAAGGTCAATTCCAAAAACGTTACTCCATGCATGTCATTTAGATCGTCTCTTCTGAGGAAGTCACTCAGTTTTACTTGAATACTTTCCACACTCAGGAGCTCATGGGTTTGGAACAATATCCCATGGGATATCCCATGGGAACAATGTCCCATGATTTTCATAAGAAGTGAATTCGTCAATTTTTTCAGAAGTAAATCATTGGGTCCTTCTACAAAATCATCTTTAGTTTGAAAACACTTTTAAAACCTGTCAGCTGTGGTTGATCTGCTGGTGTTTTAACTTTTGGTGGCGTAGCTTCAAGCATCACAAGAGTAAGTAAGATATCATGGTACAACAACCTGACAGACCTGTTAACAGGAGACATCATAATTTGGGATAATAAAATGGCATACTCTTGTTTTACGACCTTTAAGCTAGTATTTATGCAAATGTTCCTCTTTATTACCAAGAAGCATAATTAGTTTTAGAAGTGCATCTTCCCCATCTTTGCTCTTTTATTATTATTTTTAAATCTCAGTAAATACAAAATAGTATGTTTACTGAAATTAATGTCATTACCATCATCTCATTATTTCCCAGATAATAAAAGCAACTGGTTTGATAAAGCAGGTCGAGAAGCCCAGATGACTAAATTCTGCAATTGATGTTTTACCCTTTTCCTATTGAAAGATAAAAACATGTTCAATAAAAATATTTAGCTGCCACATTTCAACTATTCTTTAAAATGGCATAAGGAAAACAATTACTCACATATATCACTGTAAGATATATCTGCCAATGTGTCTTAGTTATATTACCTTATACCTACAAATGTCTGAAGGGATCAGTAGAAAAAATGACTGATATAACATGATGTGTCAAACATTTTGGAAAACATACATCTCTGAGATTGGGTTGTCATCATGTTTTTAAGACAGAAATATTCTTGATATTCCAACCCAATCCAGAAACCCTCTACTTTTGAGACAATTGACTCATAGTGATCCTGTATATTTAATACAGAATATTTCTTCAGCAAATATTGGCTAATGTTCATAAACTCAAAAAGCTGAATATTTAATGCTTGTAGAAATGTTCTGTTTCTTTATGAAAATAACACAAAGATGCATGCTACAGATTATTGTCAACTACACCACCCCTTCTGAGGTATTTTTGGAAGACCCACTTAGCTAACTTCTTTGTGTAAAAAATTAATATAGCACTTACAGATATAATTTTGAAGAGTGGCATGGCTGTCAAAATAGTGTACAACATGTATGCTATTTGCAGAAAAATACAGGGAATGCCTCTTAAAAGGGGAGAGAAGAGATTAATTACCTAATTCAAATGAAGTAGTACACAACATTTTAGTATAGCATTGCATTCAAATCTGACAAAAATAAAGTCATTGTAATAAATCTCTCACATCTAGAGAAATCCAGAGGTAACTTACATGAAATATAAAGAGTCAAAGTAATCAAAGGCAGGAATATTGTTGCACAGGAATTGTGATGTGAACAAATGATTTGATGCTAAAATAAGTGATGGGAATTGCAGCCCAGCTCCCTAACTTCCTTCTTTAGGATAAAG